ATGTTGTGTTTATGATGATGTATCCAATGTTTGTCGTTATTTCATAATGGAGTATCGACTGTCATGTTGTTGTTGTTGTTTTTTTGTTGATGAGAGTTCTTATTGTTGTTATTATTATTGTTATTATTATCATCAGTGTAGTAGCAGTAGCAGTAGTAAAAGCAATAGTAGTAGTAGAAGCAGCAGCAGTAGCAACCACAGCAGCTGCGGTAGCAGTGGTAGCAGCTCTACATAAAATAAAATCAGTCATCCGAGCAAAACCAGGCTGGCGTGAATTTTGAAATGTCAAAAATCGCAGGGCATCATCTATAAGAAGTGTCATGCCATGTGAGACTATAACGATGATGAAGATGACGACGACGATGGCGATGATGATGATAATGATAATAATAATAATAATAATATATGGTCATAATAATATTTTTAAATTCATGTAACAAAACAAATGAAAGTTTCTCAAAATTTTTTTTATCAAAAGTTTCAAAAAAATGTCCGGATATAAAAGCCATGTCATATACTAAAAATGAAATGTGAGCGTCTGTCCCAGTAATAAATTTTCCCGCTTATTTGCGACTCACTCATCTAAACAGTAATAGTAGTAGTAGTAGTAGCAGTAGTAGCAGTAGCAGCAACAGCAGTAGTAGTAGTAGTAGTAGTAATAGTAATATTAAAGTTAGTATTAGTAGTAATCGTAGTAGTAGTAGTAGTAGTAGTAGTAGTAGTAGTAGTAGTAGTAGTAGCAATAGTAGTAGCAGTAGTAGTAGTAGTAGGAGTAGTAGTAGTAGTGTACGTATAGATAGCATTTTTTTAATTTGTCACTATAATAATGGTTTATCGTTGATTTTGTTTTGTCTTAAAAAAACATAAAAGTCATAGCAAGAAAAATAAGACTAATAACTAAAAATGTAATAATAACAATAAGGAAAATAATAATAATGATAAATAAAAATAACAATAATAATAAAAACATAAGAAAACATTATGTTATGAATGTACTAGAACCGTGCTATCCGAGGTTCTATCATCATTAACATTCATCTATAGTCTGGTTTTTTGGGGAAAAAATACATACATACATACATACGTACATACATACATACGTACATACATACATACGTACATACATACATACGTATATACATACATACATACGAAACGAAACGAATCGAATGAAACGAATCGAATGAAACGAATTTTTATTTGCTTCTCAAAATTAATCTAAAAAAAGAGAAAAAAAGAATTCTGTCCCCTTTATATCAATAGGAAGAAGACAGGATAACCACAGTAGAGTTCTTTTCAGAAACTCATCGAGTGTGACCACCTTGACATAATTTTTAAAATGTTATAAGTTTTCAACAGAATTTAAACGTAATTTCAAAAACTAAAAATTTATGTTTTAAACTTAAGTAAATATTCTTTTAACTTTTTTTTAAAATTGTTTAACGAAATAAATTCAAAATTAAATCCACTGTTTAAAATTTCGTTCCAGATTCTCGGTCCCTTGCAATACACGTGAGAGAACAAAATATTCGTTTTCGATTTGTTAGAGACAAGATTATTTTGTTGCCGACATTGTTGTTTCATCTTGAAATAACTGTTAAATAAATCAGGTAATCGATTGGTTAACTGTTTATAAACAAAAATCATCAGAAAGTAAATGCTGAGTTTCGAGAAATTCAAGTTTCGCGTGCTGTTGAACAATGGTTGACTGTGTTCAAATCGTTTGGATCTCGTTATCAATCTAACTGCTCTTTTGATTAATATTTCTATTGGTAAGGTTGATGTGTGGTACGATGAAGCCCATACAATGTTGCAGTAGTTTATTAACGGAATGCACAGGGAATTATACAAAAGATTCAAACAGTTTTTTGGCAAAAATGATTTTACCCTGTTTATCATTCCTATTGACTTTGAAAGTTTGGATGATACTTGTTTTATGTGATGTTTGAAGGAGAGTTTTTGATCGAGCAGCATGCCTAGAGCCAGCATGCTAACAACGACCTTTCTGGCAGCCATTTTTTCCGGAAAAAAAATACATACATACATACATACACATGTACAAATGACATATTTAAAAAATATTTATAAAAAATCATGGCATGATGAAAATAAAAAGCAAATGTGCTTTTGTATATTTATACATACATACATACATACATACATACATACATACATACATACATACATACGTACGTACGTACGTACGTACATACATGTATGCATACATACATACATAAGAAATATCACGAGAAAATGAAAAAATATGGGAACGCCCTCCCCTCGATGGAATTCTTGCCAATATGCATCGAGGTTCTTGGCCCGATGGACCCCAACACCCTTAAATTTCTTAAGGAAATATGCAAAATGATCAGCATCAGATCAGGCGACAGAAGGGAACTGTTTTTCGCAACTAACCACATTTCGAGCTTGTTGCAGCGGTTCCTGCGTGTCTGTGTGCTTGAAAATATCCAACTGAATGCCGACATGTGCAATTAACGACAAATCAAAGTGTTAATCCATTTGTTACTTGATGTTTGACGGTTCAGTGTCACTCATCATGTTTTGGTTTTGACATACATACATACATACATACATACATACATACATACATACATACATACATACATACATACATACACATGTACAAATGACATATTTATATATAAAAAATCATGGCATGATGAAAATAAAAAGCAAATGTGCTTTTGTATATTTATACATAGGCGTTTTTTACGTGACTTTTGAGGAAAAGTTAATTTGTGAAAATGTGTTTGTTTTGTTTGTTTGTATGTTTTTATGTATGTTTTGTATGTTTGTATGTATGTGTATGTATGTATTGTAAAAATTTCAAAATTCGACTCATTTTTTCACATTTTTTATTCCTTTTACTTTGGAATTTAAATTGAATTTTTGAGTAGCTGAAGTGTGTGTTCGTGTGTGTGCGTTTGAGTTTGCATGCGTTTTGCGTGTGTGTACGTGAGTTTGTGAGTGTGTGTGTGTGTGTGTCGGTGTGTGTGTGTGTGTGTGTGTGTGTGTGTGTGTGTGTGTGTGTGTGTAAGAAAGAAAAAAAAGAAATTAAAGCAATAAAGCCTTAGCATGTCCGAAATAAAGGCTGTCTATAAAGAGCGATCAAGAGAAGAAAAAAAATGAATGAAAAAAAAATGAAAGAGAATAAAAAAATAAAGAGTATCGAAATAAAATTGTAGTTAATGGTTGGTCGGCTGTATCAAAAAACAATGAGAAAACGAAAAGAAAGATGGAAATTAGGTCTTGAAAAATTGTAATGAGAAATAAGACAATGAAATTAACTGAAAAATTAACTGCTCTGCAGCGTCGAAATGATCCCCAGTCGTCTATCACGTGCTAGGTGGAAAAGGCTTTTAAAAAATTTATTAGTTTTCCTCTTTCTACCAACCATTCAACATTCTTTTCATTTCTATTTCTGGCCAATAACGCGCGCTCGCACACACCCACACACAAATACACACACACTAACACGCACACAAATAGACAAACACACACTTACAAATACACACTCACATTTACAGCGACATTTACTAATACACTTAGCGCAAATGAAATATTAATGAGAGCCTTTAAAGTTGACGCATTGAAAAGTTAAGCACTACTTTAGCTGAATTATTTAATATTATATTTTTGTGATCTTTGGTAAAAGATAAAATTGCGTATACATATATTTTATTTTTGCTCTGTGTGTGTCTGTGTGTTTTTGTACGTGTGTGGCGTGTGTGCGTGCGTGTGCGTGTGTGCGTGTAACGTATAAAATACACACGTGCACGTTGGCCATCATGTACGGTACTGTAATGGTCATTTGAGGTCCATTTAGGTCGTTTTAAGATAGCTTGTGTCCGCAATTGGACCTCCTACTTTGATTAGGATGGCAATCTTATAAAAAATTCAAGAAAAAAATGAAATATGTAATAAACATGCATACCAGATCATAGAAACGGGCTTAAATGTCATGTATAATAAAGATATCTAAGCGTATTTCGAGACACTGTATGGTTTATTTCGTGTGGTTCTGATATTGTCAAATTACAAAGTTATTAGAAAATATTTATATCTGAAATCTAAACAAACTAAAAATATAATAATAGTATGATAATAATGATAATAATAATAATGTGATGATAATAATATAATAATAATGATGATGATAATATAAAAAAGATGATGATAATATGAAAAATGACCAGCCTATGTAGGCAGTAATGAGCCATGATTTTTTTGATTTATGAGAAAACTTGGTCATAGCCATACCGCTAAATGGACCCAACACACACACATATACACACACATACACTCATGAATACACAGTCAAACACACAAATATACATATCAACACACACACACATACCGTACATATACAGACATACACACACCACACACACACATACATACACTTATACATACATCAACACATTAGTGTCACTCATCGCTGATTTGGTTTTAACATACACACACATACATACATACATACGTACACAAACATACATTCATACAAATATTTATACGTAATTGTTAGTCGTTTGTAGTAGCAGTAGTAGTAGTAGTAGTAGCAGCAGCAGCAGCAGCGGCCGTAATAGTAGTAACAAAAACAGACGTGTTGACAATTTTTATTTACTAAGCAAACCAGCAAAGACAAAAAATGTAAAAAAAAAATATATCTCATGGAATTTTATTCATAAATATGAAAAACAACGAGAAACAGATGAATAATAATAATAATAACTTGATAATAATAAAATTAAAAATATTAATAATAATTATTATTATTATTTCTCATTCACGAAAGTTAAGAAAATTCAAAACCACTAAACGATCATAAGCAAGCCCCGCATTATCATTAACGTTTCAACCATTTATTAACTCTAACGTTAACATTCAAAAATCATTGTCACCATCATCATCATCCTTATCGTCATCACTACCACCATTAGCAGCTGCAGCAGTAGCTGCAACAGCCACAGACAGCATCATTAGACAGTGTTCATCTGGATGTCAAAAAGTTGATCGTTGTCATCGTCATCGGTCGAGACAGAATGGAACACTGCATGCAGGATGATCACAACCATCGAAACACCTGATAATGATTGTGACGATGATGATGGTGATGATGATGATGAAGATGGTGGTGGTAATGATGATGATTGTAATTGAATCTATAACCAATACGATGCTAAAATGATTGGTTTATTGATAAGTAGAAAAATTAAATAGATGAAAAAATATAAAATTTCCAAAATTCCCTCGCTCCCTCTAACTTACCGATAACCCAGAACACAACGGTACCAGCACCAGCCAACCAAAGAATTGGAAGTGAGATCATACCGACGGCCGCATACTGCTGAGTCATTGACAGTTCTTTCCCTAATTTTGAAATGAAACTTAGGATTAGTATAAAGAATGATAGTTTTAAACTTGGTATAATGATGATGAAATGACACAGTTAATGATGCTATATAAACAATGTATATGTGTGAGTGTGTGTGTGTATAAGTGTGTGTGTGTGTGTAAAACTTTCTAACCCATGACAATGATTTTCCTGTTAGCATTTTTGACCTTGACCATGTAACAAGCCCCCAGACATGCTCCTAGCGTCAACAACAGGAATGGCGATGTCAGTCTGTTAGTGTAATTGTTGGATTAGTGAAGTTAGAAAATAATTTTATAACATTATTGATTTATCTATTTCTAATTTAATTACTTTTAAATAAATGACAGATAAGATTAAAAAATAAAAAATTGGACAACAAAGAAATTGGAATTTAGATATATACATTTAAATGTGTTTCTTAGTCAAACTAATTCTAAAACAAAGAACAAAAATCTCAAACAGTAAACTCAAAATTCTAAAAAAAAACTCTACAAAATCTTTCCCTAACAATGTAAAAGCAAGTAATCCGAGGGATACATATAAGTAATTGCTCTTGAATCTGCTCACATTCCTGATCAGCCTTTGCCCGCCCTCGGCCACTGTTTTAGGCTTCGAAAATTTCTGAGTATTAGCAAAATCTGCCCAGGGTTTGAGGCCGTCTTTTTGTTTCAGGAACCATTCCTTGACTTGGATGCCTCCGGGAAAGTTCAGTGTTTTTATCCTGGCATCAGTGAATATTTTAGTGGATCTGATTGAAACTTTTATAAACTTTTCAATAAAATCACTAAAATTAGTTAAAATCTTGTTTGGAGGAAAGGAATCATAAAATAAATTCAAAATTCAATTAAATATCAAATAATAAACAACTGTTAAACTGGTAAATTTGTAAAAAAAAATTCTGAAAATTTGTTAATTTATGCGTTCAATAAAGATTTAACAACCTCTGTCCTAGTGAATAGTGAACAATCTTCTTGACGGGGTCTTCCTCAATATTACCAGACAGATCTATCTCGGTTGTTGACTCATTTTCTTCATTTATTAGATTAACATTCTCGTCAGGTGTCAAATTCGATTTCGCCATTTTATAAACTTATAATATTTAAAACTTTTCAAAATATTTTACGATTAATGTTTTATTTATATTAAATTTAGATTAGTTAGATCAGAATTCAAAAAAAAGGTTCCGTAGTTAAAATTAACTTTTAAAAATTACCTGAAAACGTAAATACGGTGTGACTAATATGCTAAAATACGTGGCGCATAGAAAAATAAATGATTAGATTGAAAAAATTATTATTATGCAAGTTATAAATAAATGTAGTTGGCTAAATTTAACGATTTCAACGCGAAAGCTTTAAAATAGTTGAAAATACATTAATAAAAATTTGAGACAATAGAATAGAATATAAAAAACTGAAAAGAATAATTAAATTATTATTAAAGAAAGATTTGTAAGGAAAACACAATTTAGATGAAATACATGAGATATTATATCCATTTATTTTCATTTAATTTCAAAGTTATAAATATATATATATATATATTGTTATAATGTAAACCTCGTTCCAATATATATATATATATATATATATATATATATATATATATATATATATATATATATATATATATATATATATACAATATTCTATTAGTTCTACCGAATGTGTGG